GGAGGGAGCCCTGCCCAAGCACACCAAGTGGTGGGGCACCACCACCCCACCTCCTCACTGGGTCGCCCAGTGCCTAAAACACACACACACACACACACACAGTACGCAATCCAGCGTGAGCCACACTGCTTCCTTCTCAGGACCAGCCGGCACGTGGTCTGTGCTTAGTGACTAAGGTTCAAGCAGCCCTGTGTGTACAGCCCTTGGGACAGAGTAACTACTTATCAAAGGAGGGTCAGAAATGCTTTGTCTCCTGAAGATGTGCAAGGCCTGGGACAGGAGCAAGTGACCCCAGATCCTCTCTCCCTCCCCTGGGGGTGCCTGGTCTCAGGCAAAGGGCCCTGGCCAGTTCTCTCCTCTTGTCTTCCTGGATCCCATTTATCTGCACCTGGCAGCCCTGAGACCCAGTGCCAAGGCACCCCTGTGTACTCAGCCTGGCAGCCGCCAGGCCTACAGGAGCCAAAACCCACTGGGGGAGGGGGCAGAGCTGGTTCTGCTTCTGACTCTCTGGGTGACCTTGGGCAGACCAATGCCACCTCTGGATCTCAGCATCTCCATCTCCAACTAGGGCATTTGGACCACAGTCTGGTGGGGGATGGGGTAGCGGGGGTATGGATAGTCTTCGGAGCGCTCTACCCAGCTCTCTGAGAGGCTGAGCCTTCCTCTGCGCCACATACTCAGCTCTCAGGGGGCGGGTTTTGGTTGTTTTGAACACGGGGGTTTTTTTTGCTTCAAGAAGATCTGAAAATCACTAGACAGCTGTCATTTGGCTACCTGGCAACTCTTGCCTTCTGAGGCAGAGTCTCTAGAACCATAAAATTCTGAGATTCCTAGAATCCCAAATTATGGATTGCTGAAGTCCCACAGTCTAAGATGTACTGGGATTCTGACTGCCAACTGAGGATGCTCTGGGAAACGGGAGCCCGCCAACCCCTGGCCAGCCCTTCCAGGTAGGGATAAAGGGAGAGGGGTTTCTCCATTATGGACCCAGAGGGCCCCTCCTGAGGCATGCTGGGCCCACAAGAGGGGAGGTCCCAGGAAGAGCCAGGGCTTGGGGGCTCAACTTGTGTCACCTCCACAAGTCCATGGAGGACAAATGTGCTGCAGGGGGCTGGGAGTCAGACTCCAGCTGCCCTTCGGGTCCTCCGCGCTGGAACCCACTCCCCGCACAGCTCCTCGAGGCAGGCACTGAGCCCTCCCCTGGATAGCAGCGCCTGGCAGCAGCCAGACTTGAGTTCCAGCCAAGCCACTCCAGGCAGCTCTAGTTCCCGAGTCTCTGGCTTCTCACGGCCCAGCTCGGGGCCATCCACAGGCCAGACACCCGGGCTGGCCATCCTGCACACACGCTCCAGACACCGCCCACCTGTCCCCAGCCATTCCTCCTGCTATGCCCACCAGATCTCTGAGGGGCAGGAGCCAAGGGTAGACCAGGGCAGGAGCCTCACTCACCCCTTGCGGATGATGACAATGATGGCCCCCAGGAGGAGGATGAGGACGGCAAGTCCCCCTGCACAGATTCCTAAGATGAGCCCCATCTCCTCCGATCGCTGGGACACCTCCAGGGGCCGCTTGTTTTCCTTGCAGGCAGCTGGGAGGGGACAGAGGAGGGCGATGGGCTCATTGGGGACAGGACTTGCAAAGGCCAGAGCCCCACGGAACGAGCTGGACAGTGCAAACACACAGAACGCTGGCCCTGACTTGTGCTACCTCTCAGCCAGACCTATCTCCTCACCTGCAGTCCCCACCTCTCTCTCCCACCATGGAAGCCAGAGGGAGCAGTGACAGCCCAGAACCATCTCCCCATAAGGATTATGACCCAATACTCCCACCATAGATCTGACCATGGGGCTCCTGACAGGCCCTCACTGGGATCGCCCTGGGGCCCTGCACCCCAGTATGGGAGAAGGAGCGGGGAGGGTACACAAGGACCTCTGCTTCCATAGCCCTGATCCTCAGCATGGCCTCCCTGGAGCTGGGCAGGTGGGAACTGGGTAAGAGGGCTGGACAAACCCAGGGGCTTACCTTTCCGGGCAATGCGGATACAGTTGAGCCGGGTCTCCTGGAGGCACAGACGGGGGTCTCAGCGCTGGTGGGGCCAGGACCAAACCCTGGCCTGACCCTCCGACAATGCTTCTTGGGCTCAATCGGGGCTTGGACTGGTGCAGACTGTCACTAAGGATACCACCCACCTCACAGGAGGGGCCGCAGGGAGAGTGGGGGCTGGGAGGGAGTGCTCTACAAATGAGCCCCAGGAGGGGGGTCAAGGCAGCTGAGAGGAAGTGAAGGGGTGAGCCTCAGAGCAGAGGGCAGGTCTACCTCCCGGATTGGTTAAGAAGTCTGAGAAGGGACCCTTGGAGGGAAGTGGGTGGTGCTCCAGGGAGGAGAGTGAGCCTTCTCTCAGGAGCAAGCAGCCAGCTCATAGCACCAGGGCCTGGGGAAGCGGGCCAGAAGCAGACTGAGGACTTGAGTGGCAAGTGTAGGGCCTGGGAAATAAGACTCCGGAAGCCTATCCCACTGGGTGGGAAGGAGCCTGGTGTCAGGATGGGTGGGGATCAGGGAGGAGGGAAATGCCCAAGGGTCTCTGGCTGCCCCTCTGGCATCTGTGGTGGGCCAATTTTTAGGCATCCCAAACCTGCCACCCATGTCCACCCCCAAGACCCCCAACCAGTCCCTCACCCCCTTCAGGTGACTTGTTGCCTGGAAATAGATGAGGTAGGCCTTCCGGGGCTCAAGCGGTGGGTTCCAGAAGCCACGATAGGTCTGGTTGTCCCCCACGGTGAAGGGCATGGCCTCCGGCAGGCTGCTGGCCGCCAGCTCAGCACCAAAATAATGCGCCAGGCCCCGGGCCAGCGCTGTGTCAAACGGCATTGGCACCGGGAAGCAGTCCTGGCCACCGGGCTCCCGCCGCAACCGCCGTGGCCGTTCCTCCTCCACAATTACCTGGTACAGGCTAGACAGAGGCGGGGGGAGGGTGGGGGGGACACATCATCAGGGAGACCAGAGGCCAGAGAAGCCGTCTGGGGGCTAAGGACGCAGGCATTGGGTCAGGAGGCCTGGGCCCTCCTGGGTGCTGCCTCTTCCTAGCTGGGAGGATGGCGACTTCCTCCACACGGGCCTGCTCCAGGAGGCAGACGTGATGATGAGTTGAGGTCATGTACTAAGGAACATGGCGAGCTTAGCACACAGCCAGAGCCTGTCCACTGTTGGGGCTACAACTGACCTGAGCGGAGGGAGCCCTGCCCAAGCACACCAAGTGGTGGGGCACCACCACCCCACCTCCTCACTGGGTCGCCCAGTGCCTAAAACACACACACACACACACACACAGTACGCATGTACACCCACGACCACAGGCTCCACCCCTCAGTGAGCAGTGACCACCCCCGGGCCTCCGTAAAATAGAGCGTTCGACTAGAATCCATCCATTCATTCAATCATCGAGTATTCACCGAGCTCAGACAAGGGGCCAGGCACTGTGCTGGACACCCAGGATCTAGGCTGCCCAGACCCGGCTCCCCCAGGGAGGAGCAGTCACCAAGCAATCAAACATTCTGCCTGGGTGCCCTGCCATCCCCGCGTCTCCCAGCCGACTCCCCACGGTCGTGCGGGGAAAGTCTGAGCACAGTGTCTGGCTACCTCTACGTGCGTGTACTTCCAGGCACCTCCAAACGCTCTCCTACCACACCCTACAACCCTCAGATGTACTCACAAACACACACATCACAGGGGCACCAGGCCAGGTCAGAAAGTTCTGCCACACAATCACAGAAACGTTTACTAAATAAACATACCAAAACAGAAAGCTGTTGCTTCTCAACGCCTCCCTCGTCTAGCGCTGTGGGGCTCTAGGGTGGGGTGCTCCTCTTTCTAAGCCTCTCCCAAAGAAGTCTGCAGTCCTTCACTTAGACCACACCCAAGATGAAATTTGGGCATCCTCCTGGGATCACACTGTGTGTTCAATGCTCTTCGAGTTTTAGGGACAAAAAGAAGTCTGAAGGGGAAAGACCAGGGCTATCGGGGGCGACAAGGCCAGCTTTCCCAGTGAAAGTCTCCTAGGATAGACCTGCTGCTCTCAAAGAATGGGCAGGTGCATTGCTGTAACGGGAAAAAATGCCCTGACATACGTTCCTGGCTTTTTTCTCACCAATGCAGTTTTCCTTGTCCTGCGTCCTTTGAGAAACTCTCAGGATTGCCCTTGGGGTCCAAAAACAGTCTCCAGAACCTTCTGAGCGGAACTTTCTGCCTCGCCGAAGTTAGCTGGTCGAATCTCTTTGAAAGCCACGGTTTTGATTGGACCTTGTATTGAAAGCCCCCTAAGGACTAAGATCAGTGTGTCACTGAGAGAACTTGCCAGCAGCCATCCGCTGACTGCAGAGACACGCTGAAACACCTTTTGTTCAGAATAAGCCTTCTGTGTATAAACGGAACGCTTAGTAACAAGACTTTTTGACTGGCCTTCATGTAGCCCAGACACACACACACACACAGCCACCTGTACACAGACCCCGACTTTATCCCCTAACCGAGGTAGTCACCAGCCTCTCCTGGGGAGAACTCATGGAGACACAAGCTCTGGGCCCCTCCAGAACTTTAGTCCTAGCCTTCTAGGAAGCCCATCTCTGGCTACCCAGGAAGGACCCTCCAGGGAAAAATCAGGGAATAAAGAAAGCCACCAGAGTTTCACTTCTACATGGTGTCTGAAGGAAAGCCCAGTGACAGGCCTGGATGACCACCCCTCCAGGTGGGACACTGGCCTTCCCACCTGATGGGTGCTCCTCGACCCTGTGCCGGCCTCAGCAACACGGTGATGGTGTTCTCAGACTCGCCCAAGGGTGAAGGCATGTCGGCGTAATCAAAGCTGGGGGCTGGGGAAGGAGACAAGGCCGTGAGCACAGGGCCAGACCACGGGACCAGAAGGGCCAGGCCCCCAGCCTCAACACCTGTCCCTGGATCTCTTGCCCTCCTTGATCCCTCTGACCTGGCCCCTGACCTTGAGAATTGACCCCTGACCTCAACCCTTGGACTCCACTAGCCATGGGCTCTTGGAACCTCTGACTTAACCCTCTCCAGCCCCTGGCTTCAATCCCTAAATGGTGCATTATCTCAGCTGCCCCTGTCCCCTTCTCCCCCACCTTGTTCTCTGCCCACAGAAGTTTGGGATCCTGGTCCACCTCCTTAGGGACCCAGCTGGGGTGGGCGAGCTGACCTGAGATGTTGGTGGTGATCTCAGTGAGCGCCGCCTGTCCAAAGCCTTTGCCGGTGCGCGCCCGCACGGAGAACAGGTAGGTGGTACCTGGGTGCAGGTTGGAGAAGACGTGGTAGGTCTCATTGCGGAGCTTGGAGATGGTGCGGCGCGGGCCTGGCACATTCACTGCCGGGTCTGAGGACTCAATGCTCTGGTAGCTGATCTGGAGACAGCATGGGCAGGGAAGCAGGCTCAGGGGTGGGAGAAGGTATCACTAGCTCAGAGGCTCTCACCCATCCACTTTCAGGTGAGCTAGGGATGAGGTCTGGCTCCAGGGAGCAGCTCAGGGAGGCTGCATTCCTATCAGGCCAGACCTCCCCACTATCCCTCCCTCACCCCACCCTGAGTCACAGAGCAGACCCAGGTGGTGGGGCGAGGAACTTGACAAGCACCTCTGTTGTCCCCACACTCCGCCCTCTCCAAACTGTGCAACAGAGGGACAGAGGGCCTTCCTCTGACCTGCCTCCAAGGGTGCCCACTGTCACAAGGGCTCAAACCCACCTCATACTGTGTGATGAGACCGTTGGGCTCCTGGGGCTCCTCCCACTTGAGGAAGATCATGTCCTCCAAGGGGGTGAAGGTCAGGGACTCAGCGGAGATCCCTCCAGGCACTGTGAGGGGAAAGGAGGTGTGAGGGCAGGAGAAGGTGGGTTGTGGGGCCAGATAATCCAGGTTCAAATTCTAGCCTGGCCGTTTCCTGGCTGTTGTCTTTGAACTTCTCATTCAACCTCTTTGAACTTGTGTGTCCTCCCCTGTGAAATGAGCACGATAACAACCCCTTCCTAACCAGAACTGGAGGAGCGCTGGCAGCCCAGTGGTTAAAGTGCGTGGCTGCCAGCTGGAAGGTCAACAGGTCAAACTCACCAGCAGCTCCATGGGAGAAAGACTAGCAGTCTGATCCCACAAAGACTGGCAGCCTTAGAAGCGCTCTGGGGTAGTTCTATGCTGCCCTAGAGGGTCACTGTAAGTCAGAATTGACTAGATGACCGTGGGTTTGGGGGTGGGGGGACCAGAATTAGGCGAGCCTGGGTGGAACGAGAACGTGTAACAACATAAATGGGCTTAGCTACCCATTGAAATCGTTGGAGTTTGTGTCCATCCTCAAGAAAGGCCAGGTGATGTCCTTCCCCAAAAAATCATCCGTGGAAAACCCTCTGGAGCACAGTTCTACTGTACACAAATGGGAGGGGGTATCATCAGTCAGAGTCAACTGGACGGCAACTGATTGGGGGCTTTCTCAACCAAAATTAGATGCAGTAATGTACATACAGCTCTAGCACAAGTACCAGCAATTTCAAATGATTCACCCCGTTAACCTAACCCACTGCCATCCCACCTCATATAGGATTTCTGAGACAGTAACTCTTTACAGGTGCAGACAACCTCATCTTCATCCCAAGGAGCAGCTGGTGGGTTTGAACTGCTGACTCTGTGGTTAGCAACCCAACATTTAACCCACAGCACAGACACCCTCATCTTTAGCCCAAGGAGCAGCGGGTGCGTTTGAACTGCTGACCTTGTGGTTAGCAAACCAACACTTTAACCCACAGCACCCCCAGGGCGACTCAGACATGAAAGCTGGTGTTTCCTTGCCGTGCTGGCCACAGTCAGCAGAGCAGAGCATCGCATGCTCCTATTTCACCCCCGGTGGGAGCTTTCAGAAAACGCAGACATTTGTCAGAGAAATGAAAGCAACCGTTGCATTCGGGTGGCAGGTTTATGGGTGATGTTTTCTTGTCTGAAAATGTTTAATTACATAAGCATATGTTCGATGTAGACCATCTGAACAATCATAAAGAAAACGAACAGCCCCGACAACTCCAACACCGGGGGATAAGTGCACTGTCAACATTTTGACAGGAGCCCTTCCAGGCCCGCTTCATTTTGGTTTTGCCTTTTTATTGTGGTTTTATTTTCATTTTAATGTAGCACCTTACCAGTGGGCGTGGTAATTTCTCCTAGAAAGAGAATGGTCCTTGTTTGGAAAATGACCTGGATCAAACTTTGAGGGGAAGCTAAAAGGCAGTGGAAAGCACAGCTCAGGCTAGCAACCAGTGGCAGCAAATGAAGAGTTTAAGAAGGGACAACATTCTCTAGGCACCTAAGTGGTAAAATGGAAAGAGCATCTCGAGTGTCGGAGACGATACAGAGCAACCGGGATTCTCACACATCGGCAGCAAGTGCGAGCGTAAACTGGTACGAGCGTAAACTGGTACCACCACTTTAGAAAGCCATTTGGTTCTGTCTACTCGAGATGAACCTGGACCACCCAAGGGGACTTCAAAATTTTCATGAGAAAAGTCTGTTTATCATTCTATTGTATTTTTCCAGGGCCTTTTTGAAGCCCTCTCATACAACCTAGTCAACCTACTCCTAAGCAAAAGCATATCACAAATGTGTACATAAAGCCCCCCAAATATCTACAATGGGGGGAAGGAGGGGAAAAAAGATGAACGGATACTAAAGGCTCAAGTAGAACAAAAATGTTTTGGAAATGACAGCAACACACATACAAGTGTGCTTAATACAATTGAATGGTAGACTGTTACAAGATTTGTAAGAGCCCCCCGATAAAACGATTATTTTTTTTTAATCTACAAGGATTTGTATTGCACCATTATTCAAAGTAGCTGAAAATTCAAAGCAATCCAAATGCCTCAGAGCCTAGAGAGGGCTAGGTCAAGAGCGGTCCATGTACAGAGCGGACTAACTGCCACATGGCTGACAAACCCATGTGAATCAAAGCAAAGGAGCCAGACACAAAAGAATATATGCTCTATGACTCCACTTGCAGAAAACTCACAACCAAGCAATCACGAATCCATGGTGTTCGAAGTCAGGACGCTGGCTACCCTTGGCAGTGAGTGGCACAGGAAAAAGGATGGCCGTGGGAAGAGGCGTTGGGGTTGCTGGTCAGGTTATTTCTTGGTGTGGGTGTGGGTAATCCCGATGTGGTCAGTTTGTGAGAATGCATTGAGCTGGCCAGTTACAAAATGGTAATCATTATATAAATATATAATTTTTTAAATATCTCAATAAAAAAGTAAAAAATATTACAGAACAATCAGTTCTTGGAAGTGGGGGTGGACAAGCAGGGAAGGAAAGCCGAACTGCCCCAGCAAGGCCCAGCCAGGGTGGGGAAGGAGGGAGCCGAGGTCCACAGGCATTCAGAATGGGACAGCCCAATTCTATTTGAGGTGCTTTGCCATGCTTTGGAGTCAACCCCTGTGGTCCTCACTCCTGCCCCAGCAAATCCTCATTGCTGTGAGTGAACAGGATTAAATCAAGGAAGGAGCTGGATTTCGTGTCTGACCCAACGTTGTGCAGAACAGAAACTGTGTGGGTGGAGCAACAAGAAAAGCTATCAACCAAGGCTCTAAGGGGCACCTGAGGGTTTTCAGCAATCTGGGAAAGGCTTTGAATTTCAACAAAGTGTCAAGTTGGAGATCAGGCTCAAATAAGCAAAGATCCTACCCAGCATCAGGGCCCACTTAACCTGGGCTCACATTAGAAGATAGCGGTTCGGAGTGATGCCGTTAAAGCTAGATGAGCAAGTTTGACTCTCAGCCCTACACCCCCACTCCCTACTAGCTATGTGGTCAGGGACAAGCTACTGACCCTCTTTTCATCAGTTACCTCATCTGTAAAGGGAATCATAACAGTGGGTTATGATTCTACTACGTGAGGTTGCCACGAGGATTAAAGGCACTGCTATTAAAAGCACTCAAAATAGTACCTGACATGTAGGAAATGCTTACTAAGTATACCTTGACATATGCACCACACTGCCTACATCCAAGGACGAGAGAATGCATGGTTTTCAAGGGCACATGGAACCTTTTAACATATGCTGGGCCATACAGCCAGGATCAAATCACAATTAATAAAATTAGAATGTGTGGAATTAAGATAGACAAAGAAGCACTTAGAAAATCCCATTTACTTGGAAACAAAGATACAAAATTCCAGAGCTATTGGTTCAAAGAAGAAATCATAAGAGAAATTAGAAAATAGTTTGAACAAACTGATAAGATACGTCAAAACATATAGCTCTAAAATATAGCTGAAAGAAGCTCAAGAAAATCTAATCAAGTAGGAAGATATTCTGTGTTAGGGTTTTGGAAAGCTTAACATTCTTAACATGTCAATACTGCTCAAAGTAATCTGCATACCTAACACCATCCGTATCAAAATTTCAATATCCAATCCTCGCATCTGCAAGGGACCCCAAATAGCCAAAGCCATGTTGAAAAAGAAGAATAAAGTAAGAAGATTCACACTTCCTGATTTCAAAACATCCTGTAAAGCTACGATAACCAAAACAGCCTGGTAATAGTATAGTGATAGGCATGTAGACCAATGAAATAGAATTAAGTACCAAGAAATGAAATCCTACACCTGTGGTCCAATGATTATCAAAAAAGGTGCTAAAAAGCTGGGGGGGGTGGGGTGCTAAGTCTACTCAAAATGGATCCAAGACCTAAATGAATGAACTAAAATCATAAAACTCTTAGACCAAAACAGAGGTAAAACATTGGGACCTAGATTTGACAATGAATTTTTAAGATACGAGACCAAAAGCATGAGCAACAGAAGGCAACTGGAGCTAACTTGGACTTCATCACAATTAAGAATTCCCATCATCAAAGGGAGAAGACAACCTGCAGAATGGGAGAAAATATTTGGAAGTATAGCATTCATCTGAGAAGGGTTTGTTATCCAGAATATATAAAGAACTCTAAGAACTCAACAACAAAAACAAACAATCCAATCAAAAAACAGGCAAAGGACTGTAATAGGCATTTCACTAAACTGGTCAACAAGCATAGGGAAAAGAATGCTCAAGACTATGAGTGATTAGGGAAACCCAAACCCCAAGCAATACCACCTCTTACACCCACTAGGAAGGCTAATCCCAGAAAAATGAAATGCAGCGAAAGGATTGAGAGTCTGGAGAAATTGGAATCCTTATCCACTGCTGGTGAGATTTAACCTTTAAGATGCAGCCTCGGAGGAGCTGACACCAAGGGCTCAAATAGAAAGAAAATGTTTTAAGAATGATGATGGCAACAAGTGTACAAATGTGTCTGACACAATGGATGGATGGATAGATTGTGATAAGAGTTGTATGAGGCCCCAATAAAATTATTTTTTTTTAAATATGCAGCCTCTGTGAAAAAGTTTGGCAGCTCCTCAAACACTTAAACACAGCATTGCCATTGAAACCAAAATCAAATCAAACCCATTGCCATTCAGCCCAACTTTCAGTGACCCTATACTTTTTTTTTTTTACTCTATACTTTTTTTCTCTCTCTCAATGGAGGGCTTTTTTACATCTAGAGCAACCCAACATTTTAATTATTTTTTTAATAAAAAAACTTTTAAGATATAACAGCAATCACAACCGCATTCCCATAGCAGGAAATGGGAAAAGGTGTTAGTGAGGGCTGATTCTGGGAGGGAAACCCTGATGGTTTCCCGTGCCCGCCATGCTCACTGTAGCCCGACAGCACGGGCATGGCAGAAGGCAAGCCAAGGCAGCCAAAGGAGAGGGTCTTGATACTGACAACATATGTCTGACAGCAATCCATAAAGTCCTCTTCAGACTCTCAAAACACATGCAATGATGCCGAATGCAGGACGATCACAGGCCAGAGGGTAGAGAGTCTTTGGATCCAGTGGCGTTGTAAGCATCTCAGCACTGGCAGGGGTCTCCAGGTGGCTTACTCCAGCTTCAGAGGTCTTGCCAGCTGCAATGTCTCCCAGGGAAGTCAGCAGAGAGAGGTGTCTTCCACCTCCAAGGAGGAAGTATCAGGTTTCCCAGAATTCTCAGGGAAAAGGCATGCCCACATAGAAGTCTCATTGGCTATCTCCAGATTGACAGCCTAAACACCACCCCTACACTCTTAACCCTTAAATTGATACCAGATTAGGTGACTACCCCACCCACCCACTGCCACTGAGCTGATTAGGACTCGTGACAACCCTATAGGACAGAATAAAGCTGTTCCTTGGGGTTCCTGAGATTGTAAATCTCTATGGGAGCAGACACCCCACCTTTCCCTTGAGGAATGGTAGGTGAATAGGGACCTCCACCCTTGGGGTTAGCTGCCCAACATTTGATCCACTTGCTAACAGGGCTCCTTTAAGTATTCTGGAATTCCGACTTTTTGCAATGTTTTCCATAATGTATTACGATCCACTGTTTAATGTCTTTGCATATTCAATAAAACACAGATAAACATATTTTTGGTATTCTCTGTTTTCACCAAGATCCATCTGGCATCAGCAATGGTATTCCTCTTCCCACGTTCACTTCTGAATCTGGCTTGATTTCTGGTAGCTGACTCTCAAGGTACTGCTGTAACTAGTTTTTAATTACTGTTGGCAAAATTTTACTTGTATATGATCTTAATCATATTGTTTAACAATTTCCACATTGTTACATCACTTTTTTTTTTGAGTGACTACAAATGTAGATCTCTTCCAGTTGTTTGGCCAGGTAGCTATCTTCCAAATTTCTTGATATAAACAATAATTGTTTAAATCACAGTAAAATATTTTAATTTAAAAAAAACTCATAGCATGCAGCTAATGGTGAGCTTAAAAGGAAATTTATAGTCTGAAATGCAATATATTATCATGAGAAATGCTCAAAATCAGTGGTCTAAGCTTCCATCTCAAATGCTAGAAGACAGCCAATAAAAACCAAAGTCAGTGCTTAAAAGGAAATAATAGAGTAGAAAATAAATATACAATAAAGAAAGTCAACAAAGCCAAATTTTTACTTATCAGAAAGATCAATGAAATGTACAAGCCTCAAGCAAGAATCATTAAGAAAAGAGAAACCACAAATTACCACTATCAGGAATGAAAAATGGGCAAGCACTATAGATCCTACAGCTATTAAAGAACTATAAGAAGATAATATTTTTAAATCATTTTATTGGGGGGCTCTTAAATATCTTATAACAATTGCATTAAGCATACGTGTACAAATGTTGCCATCAACATTTCCAAAACATTTTCTTTCTACTTGAGCCCTTGGTTTCAGCTCCTCTTCCCCCCCCTTCCTCCCCCCCCCCACCCTCATGAATTCTTGATCAATTATATATTATTGTTATTTCATGTCTTACACTGTCCGTTGTCTCCCTTCACCCACCTTTCTGTTATTTGTCCCCCTGGGGGGTGGGCTATATATCAAACTGTGATGGGGTTCCCCTTTTTCCCCCTTACCCCCCACTTCTACCCTCCCCCTACCCTCATGATGTCACTACTCCCACTACTGTTCCTGAGGGTCTGATCTGTCCTGAATTCCATCTATTGAAAGCTCTTAATTGCACCAATGTGTGTGTTCCGGTCTAGCCGGATTTGTAAGGTAGGGCATGGGAGTGGGGGGGAGGAAGCATTCAGGAACTAGACAGAGGAATTATGTGTGTTTTGTCAGTGCTATACCACACCTTGGCTGGTTCATCCCTTCCTTGTGACCCGTCTGTGAGGGGATGTCCAATTGTCTACAGATGGGCTTTGGGTCCCCACTCAGAGCCCCCTCGTTTGCATCAAGATGATTGTTTGTTTTGGATCTTCTGATGCCTGATAGCTGATCCCATCGGCACCTCATGATCACACAGGCTGGTGTGCTTCTTCCATGTGGACTTACTTGCTCCCCTGCTAGATGACCACTTGTTTAACTTCAAGCCTTTAAGACCCCAGACACTATATCTTTTTATAGCCAAGCACCATCCACTTTCTTCCCCACATTTGCTTATGCGCCTGTTTTGTCTTCAGCGATCACATCGGGAAAGTGAGTATCAAAGAGTGCAGGTTATTAGAACAAAGTGTTCTTGTGTATAAGGAAGCCTTGAGAAGAGGTCCAAAGTCCGTCTGCTATCTTAATACTTAACCTATAAATATATGTATATAGGCCACTATCCCTTTCATTATAAATTAATATATTTACATATGGACATGCCTACAGCTATACATCTTAGGAAGATAATATTATAAACAGCTCTATGCCAAGCAATTTGATGGTTTTGATAAAATGAACAAATTCCTTAACAAGACACAGGACATCAAAATTCACCTAGAGAACATCTTTCAGCCCAACAATAGGCAGGACTAGAAAATGAGGGAGGAAGGTACTCCCGAACAACCAGAGGGCAGAATTCATCCACAAAGCAAAATGGGGCCAACATGGGGCCAGAGAAGGACAAATAGCAACAGGAAGCCAGGGAGGAAGGGGAAGAGTGCTATCACACTGAGGGGACTTCAGTTGATGCCATGAGACAAAATGTGCATAAAGTGTCGATTGAAAACTAACTTGCTCTGTAAAGTCTCTCCCAAATCACAATAAACAAATCAAATGAACAAACAAAACAGGATATTCCTATATCCTTATTCTGATATCTAGTTTTAAATATCCTTATTCTATACATGGTGGTGGTGTGGAACATATGATGGGCTGCTAACCACAAGAACAGCAATTCAAACCCACCAGCTGCTCTGAGGCAGAAACATGAGGCTTTCCACTCCCGTGAAGACCGACAGCCTCAGAACCACCGAGGCGGTTCTACTGCCTCCTCGAGGCTTCCTGGGAGTCAGAATCTACTCAGTGGCAGTGAATGTTGTATATATTTTATATATAATGTTTGAATATACCTTGTCCATCCTGGATATTCCTCTTTCTATTGTTTAACATTTTCCCCAAGTCTATTTTTAAAATTAAAATTGTATTTCTGTATCTATTTTTAAAATTGAAATCTATTAAAAAGCCTTTCCACAAGAAAACTCCTGGCCCCAAGTGCTTCACTGCTGAACGCCTCCAAACATTCAAGAAAGAAAACTTAGCTATCTTACCCAAGTCTTCTTAAGAATAAATATTAGCTATAATTACGTTGTCATTAGACTATTGGTATAATCTTCAGCAAAAAGTCCCGACAAGAATAGCAGTTCCAGACACGAACCAAATATGGTTGGTCGGTGCTCAGTGGCCTGGGAGTGGGGGCTGAGACTCTTACCATCCTCGTCGGTCTGAAAGGAGACCTCCTTGCCATCCTTGCGCCCCTCGGGGTTCGTGAGCATGAGCCGCACCTGGACATTCCGGTAGGGCAGCAGGTTCTTGATGGTGTAGCGACTGGCACCCCGCTCCATCTTCACACACTCCCGGAAGGTCTGGTTGTGGCTGCTGCCCAGGATGTAGTGATAACACAGGGACACGGTGTAGGTGTGGCAACGCGTCACGTTGTAGCCCAGCGGTTCCCACTGGAGGGTCAGCTGGCGGGCTTGGATCTCGGCGAAGGCCAGGCCTTTAGGGGCCCTCATGGGCTCTGGGGAAGGCAGGAGGCAGAGAGAGCAGGGTTGAGTAGCGAGAAGGAGAATGAAGAAGCACAAGGAGAGAGACCATCAGACAGCCGACTGACACTCTCCCTCCTTTGCCCCCCACAGCTCAAGGGACCCCAAGGACACTGAACAAGGAGAAAAAAGACATGATTTATTATCAAGCTATATGTGAGTCCTGGTTTTGCCAGTGAACAAGCAGGGCTGAATCACTTCGCCTCTCTCAACGGTGGTTTCCTCCACTGCGCATGGGAGAATAAGCCTTCCCTCCTAGGAAGGTGGTGAAGATTTAAGGTAATGTGTGCATAGTGCATAGTGCCTCCATGGCTAAGACACAATAAACCCCTCAAGATCTTAGCTGTCATCTTTACGGACTAACACCTTTCACCTTCTAATTCAATATCATCTTGGACTACATCAGGCCCATCTCCATCAACTTGTCACTCCATTTTTCTTAATTTACTGGCCCAAAGTTGTTCTGAACAGCTTGTGGGAATATATATTATTCAAGAATCAATAGAAATTTTTCTCTGTAATCCTTCTTCCAGTTCACAATAAAAAGCTTTAAAAAGAAACAGAAATCAAGATGATGGGGAAAATGAGAGCCAACTAATTAAATAAAGCCAGAGAGTGCCCAGGAACCAGCAATGTATGCCATGGGGGTCTTACACGGGTTCTGAAGTTAAAGTTCAAATGCAGCGATGAGTTCTCTGGCTACCAAGCATAAAAGGAACTACAATATGATATATAATTATCGTGATGATAATAATAATGGCAGCTAACATTTATTGGGGGCTTTCTATGTGCGAGGCATTGTTCTAAATGCTTTATCTCATTTAATGCTCACTCAAATGAAAAGAGTAAAAAAAAGTTGCCATCTAAGCGATTCTGATTCCTGATAATCCCATGAGACAGACTAGAACTGCTGCCCTGATGGCATAATGGGTTGCCAGCTGAGCTGCTAGCTGCAAGGCTAGCAGTTTGAAACCACCAGTCACTCTGCAGAAGAGAGATGAAGGTTTCTAACTTCTATCATAAGTCCCACTCTCAAAAGCCCACGGGAGGCAGTGCTAGCCTGTCCTGTGGGGTTACTGTGAGTCAGAATTGACTTGATGGCAGTGAGTTTGGTTTTTCGGTTTGGATAATCTTTACAGAAAGAAACCCTGATAGCACCGTGAGCTAGAGACTGAGCTACTAACTACAAGGTCAGGGGTTCGAACCCAGCAGCAGCTGCAAAGGAGAAAGATGAGACTTATTTACAGAATTTAATTATTTACAGAGACTTATTTACCGGGTAGGGTTCTGTAAATGAGCCTCGTTTCTCTCCCATATAGTAAGGTCGCTATGACTTGATGGCAATGGGTTGGAAGCTTGACAGTAGGTCACAAAACCTTCCTTCCATGGTGTTACTGGGTGGTTCAAACAGGCAGCCTTTAGGTCAGCAGTCTGGTGCAAACCACTCATGCCACCTGCTATTATTGGCCCTGACGTACTAATATGGAAACGGATGCACAGATTAAGCAGCTGGTCCACAGTCACACGGACCGTAAGTGGTGGAATGGAAACTTGATCAGGCTGGCTCCGGAGTCATGTTCTCACACCATTGCCTTGTGTTAGATGAGGAAATTACTGTCCAAGACAAACAACCCAACAATGTCTCCGAAGAGAGACAGCTGCCCACTAGAGAGCATGCTGTGGTGCTTCACGAGCACGTGAAAGCTCCACAGGGCAAGAAAGTGATCCCCACTCTCTACACAAAGAAGCTTGGGCTTCTGAAGCAAAGTTAGGATCCGACCTACGGTTCCAGGCTCCACGCTGAGCAGCTGGGTGTTATTCCTAAGCAAAGCCCCGGACCTCCAACTCCCCATCTGGAAAATGAGGGGGAAAGCCAAGAATCAAATGATTCTTTTCTCTCTTGCACCCAGATTCTCTGAAATGCAGACTGCTTATCTCGAATTCTGGTTAGCACCCGCAAAGGGTCCCCAATTAGGGGAGCTCAGAACATGCTTAACGACCAGGTGAGAACGTGCCGCTGCTTGGCCTCTTCAGATGATTAAGCATGACCCCAGTGTCATGTTTTATATGAGTAATTTGCTCAGAATGCATTTTACAAGGAAATGCAAAAGGAAATATCAGGCCAGCCTGCTCTTAACTCAGAAGTTTATAAGTAGCCCAGTTTCAGATGCTGACAGAAAGTATAGCACCACACAAGTTTCTCTACCTTCTCGGGAGCCTCCCTTTCTGCCCTGGGCCACAAGCAAGTGGCATGTCCCCAGTCATTTACTAGTTCACCAAAGAGAATCATCTCATCTACTAGGAGCAAGGCCTACACCCTGATATCTTGCTGAAGTCTGGCTCCCTTCTCCCCAAAAGGAAGACACACCCACGTCTCATCACAGGTGTATCTTACAAGTCTGGCTCCCGATGCTCACACTTCTGTGGGCTGCTGGCTGCAAGCCCCCTTATCATCTGTGACGGTTCACGTTGTGCATCAACGCGGCCAGATTAGGAGTCTGCGTGGTTTGGCAGACACTGGACTGATGGTTGTTGTTACGTGCTGTCCAGTCGGTTAAGGAAACGCCGCCCAGGCCTGCGCCATCCTCACACCTGTCCGTAGGTTTGAGCCCGTTGTTGCAGTCACGGTGCCAACCCATCTCCATCAAGGACCTTCCTCTTTTTTGCTGCCCTTCCACTTTACCAAGCATGATGTCCTTCTCCAGGGACTGGTCTCTCCTGACAATATGTCCAAAGTACATGAGATGAAGTCTCTCCATCCTTGCCTCCAAGGAACATTCTGGCTGTACTTCTTCCAAGGCAAATCTGTTTGTTCTTTCAGCCATCAATGGGTGCTTTAAATATTCTTCACCAACACCATAGTTCAAATGCCTCCGTTTTTCTTCGGTCTTCTTTATTCAATGTCCAACTTCCACATGGATATGAAGCAATAGAAAATACCATGGCTTGGGTCAGGCACCCCTTGGACCTCACAGTAACAACCATGCTTGTCAACACTTAAAGATTCACTCAATGCAGGGCGCCCTGTGATCTCTGGACTGCCGCGTCCATGGGTACTGATTGTGGGTGTGAGCAAGATTAAATCTTTCACAACGTCAAGCTTCTCTCGGCTTAGTAGTGGTCTAGTTGTAAGGATTTGGGTTTTCTCTACAGATTGAAGTCTACATACTTCGTACTGAAGGCTGTGAACCCTGCTCTTCATCGGCTTCAAGCCCTCCTCACTTTCCTCACACAAGGTTGTACCATCTGCATATTGCAGGTCATTGATAATCTTTCCTCTGATCCTGAAGCCACAATACAGATTCCCTGATGATTTGCTCAGCATGCAGACTGAGTTAGTATGGTGTGAGGATACACTCCAGACGCACGCCTTTCCTGATTTTAAACCATGTTCCATTCGCACAGCCGCCTATTGATCCATGTACAAGTTCCGCAGGCGCACAGTGAAGTGCTCTGGAATTCCCATTCTCTCAAGGCTATCCATGGTTTCTTGTGATTCACACAAATACCTTGCATAGTCATTGAAACACAAGTAAACATCTTGCTGGTATTCTCTTCTTTCAGCCAAGATCCATCTGACGTTAGCAATGATATCCCTTGTTCCATGTTCACATCTCTTCTGAATCTGTCCTGAGCCTCTAGCAACTCCTTGTCAATGTACTTCTGCAACCACTGTTGGATGATCTTCAGTAACATTTTCTTGCATGTAATATCAATGATATTCTATAATTTGAACATTCTGTTGGGTTTCCTTTGCAACAAGTAGAAATATGGATCTCTTTTAGTCAGTTGGCCAACTAGCAGTCTTCCAAATTCCACGGCATAAACCAGGGAGTGCTTCCAGTGCTTCATCAGCTTGTTAAATCATTTCAACTGCTATTCTATCAATTCCTGAAGCCGTGTTTGGGGCTAATGCTGTCAGTGCAGCTTGGACTTCTTCCTTCAGTACCATTGGTTCTTGCTCATATGGTACATCTTGAACTGGTTGAACATCAACTAATTCTTATTGGTACAGTGACTCTATGTATTATTTCCATCTTCTCTGGATGTTTCCTGCATCATCCAATATTTTGCCCATAGACTTTCAATATTTCAGCTCGAGGCTTGAATTTTTTCTGTAGTTTTTTTTCAGTTGAAGATATGCTGAGCGTGTTTTTCCTTTAGACTCATTGCTCTTCCCTAATGTAATATAATGCAATCATTTCCATGATGAGACTTGATAGGAGTAGCCAATCCGATAAAAGGGAGCTTCCTTGGGGTGTATGTAGCCTGCCTGTGTTATAGAAATGGATGTTTCAGCAAGGCTCACTAGTCCTCCCTTTCCCTCCTTCCCCCTTCCCTCAATCTCTCTCTCTCTCAATCCTGCATCCACTTATCATCTGACCTCTGGTTCTCGAAATGTGAGTCAGCTTGCCATCTGACCTGCAGATTTGGATTCACCAATTCCCACTGACCTCTAAGCCAGCAGCCTGACATCTAGACTGGCTATTTGGGGTTCATCAGCCCCTTCAACCACTTGAGTCAGGAGAAGCCTGATGCCTGGTGCCTGACAAATAGAATAAGAACTTTCTAGCCTCTATTGCTGTATGTGCCATAACATTAAATTTTATTCATTCGTTCGCTCCCTCAATCATTCACTCATTTACAAGGCACCACATAAAGTCCCCATGCCTAGAAGTCAATTTGATGGCAGCCCCCTAGTTCTCTGATGGTACTCCATCATCCTTCTGTCCTTGGAGTGGACGAGGTGGATTTTGTGCGTGCTCACTAAGTGCTCCCATTATTCCCTGGCTTTCTGGCTCTGGTATGACCTGGCTGCCCTGGGTGTGTGTAGTCCCCGGGGGTCTATGGGGGTCAAGGTGCCCTTCTTTCCCTTGCACTGGTGAGGCTGGATCTCGGTTTCCTGCTGCTCTGCTCACTCCCTGGAGCGCCAGCCTCACAGTCATCCAGTCTTTCCAAGTGCCAGTGGGGTGTA